AAAATAATATTGAGGAATAAAATTAAAGCAATTAGTACTTTATTCCTGGGCTACACTTCTTGTCCTTTCAAAATTGTTTATACATTTACACTACCGCAACTAACTCAACAAATGGGTATCAGTAATGAAGTTCAATAATTGAAAGGGTAAACATAGTAAGGTCATTCTTTTCATTTTTTAACTAATATTGAAACCAACAAGAAATTTGGTGATCTGTGATCATTTGATCATCTGCATAACGACGCATAACCCAAGTCCCAAGACGAATAGTTTCAAGCAACCTTAAGAAACAGGTTTTATTTAAGAACAGCTGAATATATATTGTATATAAAGAAGATATAGAGGTTGCTTAAATTTTGCTTAACCCTATTTAAAATTAGGGTTGTCACTTTATAAATCTCATCGTTAAAGGTAGAATTAGCGAGATGAACTATAGAATTGATACTATAGTTCGTAATTTGTATATGTAGATACATTCACTGTTTCCAAAGAACCATATTCTGAACCGGGAAACCCGTTATCGCTTTAATGAAGCAGATAATGTAGTAAAGACATTAACTATGGATGTTGTACAGATATTTTAGAAAGAAAGAACTCAAGTAGATGCCCGCCTTTTGGTCGAGCTCAGGCACTAACACAGCAAATAGATATTTGCTTTCTTCTTTTTTCATAAGCAGCAATTACGAAAGTAATAGTTGAATGGGGTTGACGGATATTAAATCGGAGATGTTGTTGCATAGATCTTTCGGAATTTTTGTTATTAACATTAAAACAGCAACTTCACTATTAAAACAGCAATTTAACTTTTCTATTAACTTAGCTAGAAATTGCACAAAGCCAGGCTCTGAGAAGACTTTTCGTACCATGATACATTAGGATGAATGACATCCTCAGGGACCTCAAGATTGATCCGAGCAAAAAATACGTAAAGAATAGAGCCCTGATTCCCGGGGAGTTTTATTCCTATATGGATTCTTAAAAAATAATGACACTTATTTATCGAGTTAATTGCGGTGATGTTAATGTGCTGTTAAATGTTAAATAAACTCACCAAAAAAAAGTATCTCTATACTTAAACTTATTTTGAAAAAAATTAATATTTTACATTTATTATACACCTAATACTAATATGTAACATTAAAAGCAAAGTTAAATCAAATATGTTTAATATAAAAATAATAAAAATACTATAAGTTATAGTAAAATAAACTTTAAAAATTTCTTTAGGTAAAATTCTGATAATGAGGTGAAGTTTATTGCTGTTGTGGTGAGTGGTTTGGTTTGGTTTAAGTTTGTATGTAATTAATCATAGATTTCGTGTTTATTTAAGAATTCAACGTTTTTAAGTATATTATTAAGTTTAAAGAATATAGCATTAAAGTAAAAACTGTATTCAATTTAATAAAAAGGCATTTCAAATGTTTGGAAAGTATTCCGTATGTAAAAAAATTTTAAATTAAAGTAATTTAAAATTTTTATTGTGAAATAAAAAAAATTAATTAACATAGACGTGTGTATTTTTAACTACTAATTTGTAAAATTTTATTGCTAAAAATTTACTTTAAATAATCAAGAAAACATAAGAACAAGATATTTTTTGCAGTACCTCGAAATCCTTTTAAATTGTTAATTTAATGCATGATTTTTCATGGAAGACCAATCGAACAAATTCGAGCAATGAACGAAGAAACGTAGGAATTAACGTATCCAAAAATAGGGCGGCAGCGATCCGCAAAATTTAATAAAAAAAAAATAGTATAAATTTTAACCAAAGTAAAAAAGTTTTATGACAAAAATTGTAATGACTTTGTTTATAGTCTTTTAAAAAATTTTCATTTAAACAAAATATAAAAATAAGTAAGTTATAAACATAGTTTATGAAAAAATGTATAATAAACATAATAAAATAAAAAGAAAATAAGCCAGCTAACTTAAAATTATGATTTTATTTGATTATGATTATAAGAAATTAATAATAAAAAATTAATAATTAAAATAAATGTTCGTAAATTATACGCTTATATATAAAATAGCGAATGTACACAAGGACCATCTCAAAAGTTACCAATTTAGAAAATTCTGAAAACATTTTACTAATTGAAATAAATTGTAATTTTTTCAGTTTTAGTGGGATTTGACAAAATACAAATTTTATTTTTTAGAAAGATTATTCCACTTATAGTGAAATAAGGTAAATGAAATTGCTAACAGGTGAGTTTTAAAAATGAAACAATAAATAAGATTATTAAAAAATTTTTAATTTCAAACTTTTATAAAAAAATATATTAAAAAAAATTAATTATTAATTAATTATATAAAAAAATGTATATAAAATTATGCAAACTTGTTTAAAAATATTTACAGCAAATAATAAATTAATTAAAATGACTTTTTTTAATTAATAAATTCGCGCTTGAAAATACCACTCATCACCTTACAAGTTCTTCTATAAATTATTATAATTTTTGAATTTGATTTGATATTGTTTAAACTTACTAATTAAATATTAAAATTACAATTAACTAAGTATAAAAATTAGTTTTTAATTAAATTATTACGCTTAAGTATTAATAATAAATGAACTTAAACGATAGCAAGAAATAAAGAGAGTAAGAGAGAGTAAGAGTAAGAGAGAGAGAGAGAGGTAAAGTAAATAAAATTCTTTTACATGTCTAAATGTACTATTACATATATGAGAGATTCTTTTTCTTTTAATTTTAATTTTAATTCTATTTTCATTTATAAAAATCTTAACCGAAATGATATTAAAATAATTTTGGTTTTCCTCTTTAGTCCTATATTACAAATTTCTAATCGTAAGAATAAATAAATACAGGAAAAATGTAAAAAATTGTATTTAATAAATAAATTTAATTTATTATATGAATATAGCATTCAGTACATTCACTAGCATATTATGAATTTTGTATCATACGAATAAGTTTTTAAAATTTATAATTAAATAGAAATTAACATAAATTTTGCTTAATTTGCGGTTTTTGTAAATCTTTAAGCTTAAGATGCTTTTACATACAAAAATAAAAAATTAAAAATTATGTAGGTATATGCTAAGATGATTAATTATGTGGTTAAATTTTCAAATGATTATATATGTATGTACGAGTATATTTTATTATAATGCAATTATGATGATTATTATGTGGGAGCAAATGTAAATGAAAGCTACGCTCTTAAGATGAGTACACAAAAACAAAAGATACTTGTATATGAAAAGATATTGGAACTTAAATGATTTTAAATATTTGTATAATGATAAATTTCTATATACAAAATTATTGTTGTGAAAATTTAAAATTATGTGAACATAAAATATAAAAAAATTTTAAATCTATTATATATAAAATAAAAGAAATCATAATTTTCTAAATAATATTGAAATAAATATAATTTGTGTGGTTGGTAATTATTTACTTTTTATGAAAACCTACTACGTGAGGCATAAGAACAATTTTTTTATAGAAGATATACAAATAGCATTAGAAGTAATATATATCAAGGAATATTTGTAGTAATTTAAAAAAATTAAAGGCAAGTAACCTCCAAAGAACAAGTGTTGCGAAGATCATGTGTACTTTTCCTTGAAAGGTATACATGATAACTGAGTAGCTTCATGGTTTCTGAGTAGTTTTCTTTTGAAAAATATTAATACATTTTATTAAATAAATTTTGTTTCATTTTTCACTTAAAATGGATTCCCGTTTTTTGTAATTTCAAACAACACGGAACCAGTTAAAAGTTTTCTTCGTTGGTTACCTTAATAGAGTTTTGTCACCGTTCTTGAAGAGCATTTATATAAATGAAGTGAAGACTGGTAATTCAAAAAAATTTAAGAACGGAGTAATAGTGTTATTTTTCTAATCAATTTACAAATATTAATAATTCATAAAATATTGTTAGACCTGAATAATTTTTTCTTATTGCGATAATAAATTATACAAATATTTAGTTTTGCAACTTGGGTATGTATTATATAAAGAACATTTTGTTTCCAGTTTAGAAATCAAAAATACGCCATAATTATAGAGCATCATAGGCTACAAAGACTTCCGATATTTAAAACTCAAGGTTGATAATTTTGAACATCCCTAATATCTGTTGAAATTTTAAATATATTCAGTTCCACTTTAAAGATGTCAACTTAATGAGTTAATCATTTCAAAATAAATTTAGCATTCCAAATAGCCTCAACGTTTGGAGGGTCTGTTTGCAATACAAAAGATCAATCATGGTCGCAGTACTCCGCTCCGTTGGGATCTAGTACCCCGTTTATACCTATCCTACCCTATTGCCTCTCATTATTTAAATTTGATTAAGCTATAAGTATTCAAATTTTCTATTCAAAAATAGAAAATTAAATCAAAGTTAAATCAAATTTTGATTTAACTGAGAGTAAAAGCAATAATATCAGTTCTAACTTCATTAAGTACTTGTGTCTTAAACCTCAAATATATAACAATAAATTAATAAATAATGGTTAAGATTTGAAGAAAATAAAATTATAATAAAAATGTGTTCGTTTTTTATTTATATTCGAAATAATTAAAAATATTATTAATTAAGTATCTATGATGATTGTAATAATATAATTGAGAAGGTCCTTGCTTTTTAATACAAACATTACAATTTTGTATTTTTCAATTACAAATGTTTGTAAAATTTTATAAATAAAACCAAATTAAGTAATGAATAATTATTTTTACAAAATGTTTAATAAATAAATATAATTAAATAAGAAAGGAAAATATATAAATAAATAAAAAGTAACGTAGCTTTACAATATTGTTAAGTCATAAAAAATAAAAACATTTAGAGACGTTAAAAATTCTTAAAAACGGTTTCACCTTCCCAGAAAATACGAATACGAAATGTTCATACATGACTAAATAATTTATATATAATATATGTAGTTTTTTTTTAAATAAAATTATTAGTCTCAAATTTTTACAAAATAAAATCAGCCATAAAATATATTCACTCACCTTACTATTGGCAAATAACAAACCAACACCTTCGAGGCACACTTGTAAAAGACCACCTTCACCTGTATTCATATCTTGTACGGGAAACTCACCACCTAATTCGGGTACGTTAGTAGGGGTACCACCACGTTCCATAGCTTCTTTTATGCAGTTGTAAAGCTCTTTGCACTTCATATGAAGGATAAAAACTTTACTTTTAATAGATGGCTTTTAATTTTGGATACTAACTTTTCTAGTGTAATATTTATGCAATTGCGTCTGTCCGCCATTTCGACGCCACAGGCAAAGTAGTTTTGTTTTTGGTGAGTACGTCATGTTGACTAAACGTTCATACCACCAGCGCTCAACAATTGTTCCATCCACTGAGCGTAGTACTAAACCATCATCACGCACTTCCATAAAACGTAAAGGTCCTGTAGCATCAACGCCTTGATGTACGGTAAAACTTTGGCGATGCAAAAGTCTAGATCCAAGAGGTTTCAAATCAATTCCATTCCCATTCTAAGAAATGAGCAAACATAATAATAACGTAAAATTTTTTTTAATTTAATGATAAACATATAATATAAAATATACATATATTCCATTTATATGCATTGTATGAAAGATAAGCAAATATAAGTGTCAGATAATTTATTGAGTGACTATTCACTGTTTTACTATTCTATAAAATATTGCAGTCATAATAATAAAATAAAGTATTGTATAATTTCTTACTTACCAAATTATTGATTTGATCTACCAAATTGTGGACCTCTTGAGAGTATACCAAACCTATATGACTCTTTCCAAGCAGTCTACGTATTTTGCGGCGTATTTCTTCTTTACTAACATTCAGCATAACCAATATTGCAGTCAAATTGTATAACATAGTTGATAACAAACGATCTTCATCATGTTCTAAACGTTTTCTTTCAGATTCACTTAGTGCTTTATAACGCTCCATCATTTCTATGGGACCCTGTAATATTAATTAAAATGCTTAAATAATAATATTTAATATTTATTAAGTTTTCTTTTTATCGTCACGTCGAATTTAAACAAAACATATTTAAATAATATTATATTTCTCTAACCTGATCCATGCCAATCATATCTCGTTCTTGACTTACGGCATCCAAAAACGCATCTTCCCAAAATTGCATTTGGTTCCACAAATTTGAACGGTCCTTACCTAATAAGCCCTCAAAGACATATACTCTTGGGCTATCTGGTGATGGTGAAGATGAGGTGTTTATTAAATGTCCACCTGTATAGCGGAAACCTGCACTTAGTGTTGATTTTCCTGACCAAAGGTTTCCTGAACTTCGCTTTGAATCCTTCGAAGTGGTTGTCTATAAGATAGTATTCAATTAACTTGACTATATGTTTGAATATTATTTTAAGCAGTTAATTTTTCATACACATAAATAAATTAATTTGTACAGCTTAATATTTCAAATCTAACTTTACAGACCAATTCAGGGGCCCATAATCAATGAAGCATGATCAAGCGCTTCAATTTTTTTTTCTTATCTTAGCATTTACTTACATTTTCGTATTCAGTATCAGACACAGTTGAACGACAACTGGCAGGCATTCGTACGCCCAAGCTACCGCTTGGCAAGAGATCACTGACCACGGAGAGAGCACCCGTAGAGCCAGCACCCTACGAATTGAATGCAATTGTATTTATATCACATATGAGACATAAAGACTATACGAGTACTATGTACCTAAGGTATATATTAAGCACAACAATCTTCAGCTATTACAACAATGATGCAACAAGCATTCAGTTTAAGTACAACAATAATATCGAGTATATAATAGTAACTATATTAAATCAACTGAAGTCTTTATAAAGTCAATATACCACATACTACATTAAACGAATACCAGACTAAAAGCAAATGAGGTTCTTGGACTCTACGTGTTTAAGGAATGTTTGTGTCTACAGTTTTAAGCAGCAACATTACTGGTAAGGCATAATACTATATGTGAATGATTACTAATTAGATGGGTTAAATGGTTAGCAAACATCAACTAAGACAACTAAGTAATATTTTGATTATAGTAATTTTTATATTTACAGAAAACAATTATACTTCAATAAGCACTTACATCGGAATCGAAAGACGTTAACTTGCTGAGCAAAGCTGTGCGCTTTTGTGCTAACATATCTTTAAACATTTCTGTAGTTGACTGTCCGTCTTGACTTTCAGTGGAAGACAATCTACGTGCAGCGGTAGTATGACCCATTCGATCTGTGTGTGTTGAACTTTTACGTGATTCCTGCGGTGAAGCTGTTTGGGAAGCCCACTCGCTACCTAAGCCTGAGTGAGAACCATTTGGGCTTGCAGGTGAACGTAAATTTTCACGACTCCCCATTGGACTTGTTACATGACTGGATAGTAAACTAGAAGACATATCGCTTGCTTCGTTAAATTCTTTACTCCAAAAATGTGTGTGTGCAATTTCCATCATTTGAAAAACTGATGCCATACCACCTAATCCAAAATTTGAAAATGTAACTTCTAAGCCAGAACTAACTGCTTGTAAGCACTTTAACATTCCTTTCCACACCGGCTTTGGTATACACTGTAAAATAATGCAAGAAATAAAATAATTTCTTTTTACATTACATCAAATGTCTACAAACCACATCGTCTATATGATCATCAGGTGCGATTTTTTTCTCCAGGGTTCTATTCAGTTTACTAAGTACCAATGTACGATATGATTCGTCCTCCATTAATTTTTTAAAACGATTTAATTTAAGCCAACCAACACCTTCACCTGCCAATACTTGACTTGTCACATCTTTCAGAAAAGCTTGATTCTCTGAATCACTGTGCGAGCGTTCTTGATTCTGTTGTCTTGCTAACTCTTCTTGCGTTTGTCGGGGCCCAGCATGTTTTATTAATGGCGTGCGCTCAACTAATCCCTTACGACCCGGAAAAGGATCAAAATTTAAACCCGTTTTCTGCTTTTGCTGTGTACTTCCAGCGGTTTGTTGTTGTTGTTGCTGTGGGGTTTGTTTTTGCTGGTTTTCTATTAATTATATTTGAGTTAATAAACAATTTTTTTAATTTGGTAACATTGTATCGAATTACTTACTTTTACCGAACATTCCAGAAAACATTGTTGAAGTTGAAGTTGCTAAGCCATTGAAATCGGTCCCGATAGATGAGAAAAATGTGTTGCCTGTATTTTGGACTTGTTTCTGTGTCGCCACTTGCGTTGTAGGAACACCTACACTACTCGCATTCTCATCAATTTTAATTATTCCTTTCTTGGTAGCAGCTTCTTTGGCTGTCTTTGTCAAATCTCCCAATGTCGATTTGCCCACATAAGTCAAGTCATCGAAAGTATTTTTGCTAACGCCAGCTGCCTGTTTAGAAACCTCCAATGCCTGCTTGGAAGCTTCACCAGCCGCTTTTTTGGCATGAAGCGTAAACTATTGCGAAAGAATAAAAATATATCATATCACAAAGGATCTCGCTCATTCTACACAAAAAATAAAAATTCATGTACTAAGGAAGAAAATTTAAAACAAAATGTGTAATTTAAAAAAGTTTTGTTTTTAAATTAGAATAAATAGAAAATGGAAAAAATTTAAATATTTGTTTAATATGCATTTATTTTTGGTGACTTCTACGGAATCGTTTATATTATTTATTGAAAGAAGGAATAACTTTTAAATGAAATGTAAAGATGTTGGGTTCTTAATATGTCTGAATATGATCACACCAGATAGCTATATTATATGTAACTATATATATAATATAATTTATAATATATATTTACTATATTTAATTTAAAAAATTTTGAGATTGAGAGTTTGATATTGATTTTTCATCAATCTTTTATGTATATATTTGTAGTACAGACGAAACTATATTAAATAATATCTTAAATTCCTTTTTGAGGTTCTATAAATACCAAAATATTAAAATTTTTAAACACATATGTAAAAATTTACTTAAGTGTTTCACTATTTACTGTAAAATCTCCTGAACCGATTTGTAGATCCTTTAGATGATAATTCAACCCACAATGTGCTATTGTTATTCATATCAGAAATCTTATCTTGTTCTACGTGTAAGAGTAATAAAATTAAAACCATAGATCACTCTTATGAGTTTAAGTTCGTTTTTATTGTTTATCGAAATACAAACACACACGAAATTATAATGTTTAATACTTGCAACGCTAGCACGCGGTGATCGATCAAAAACCATTCACTCACTGACTGTTTCGTTTTTGTTTTTTTCCTTTTGTTTCTTTTTCCTTTTCAGTCAGGGCTGCCATCCTCTTACAGCTCGGCCTTTCCTGCTGCTTCGGATCGTCCTCGATCCGTGATTGTCGAGTTGTTTCCTTCGTCTTCGTTAGCACCTTCGTCTTGACTGTCGCAGAACTGAGGTAAAGCACACCATGATTTCATTTTGTCGCTGGAGTAAACCGACGAATAATGGCGCTGAGTACGTTGGGAACCAGGTATGTCTTGCACGACATAGCGATCGTTACCTAGTACGCGTGTAATTTGAAATGGGCCTTTATATTTGGGTTCGAGTTTACGTGAGGTGCCGGTGCATGGTGCCTCGTATTCAACCACAACCAAGTCGTCAACGTTGTACTTAGTCGGTGTTGAGTGCTTTTTGTCATAACGTTGTTTAGCCTTTAGTCGTTCTGCATTCAGCCGCTTTACTGCTTCATTAAGATTGTTCGTTAGATTGTCGTTCAATATATCATCTCGCTGTAGAACAAGCACTATCTTATTCTGTAGTATATCTCGTGGTTTAAAATTGAACAACAGTTCTTGTGGCGTTCGAGAAGTCGTTTTATTGCGCATACTGTTTATCGACCATTGAATCGTACGAAGGGACTCGTCCCAGCGCTTGTCGTTATTTATCGTAGGTAATAGCATAGAGAGTATAGTTCTATTGCATCGCTCGACTAAGCCATTTGCTCGTGGTGTTCGTACAGAATTAGATATATGTTGAATGTCGTTCTCGTTGCAAAACCGTTTGAATTCTTTTGATGTGAATGCCGACCCGCGATCCGATATAATTCTCTGTGGCATTCCCACATAACTACTTATTTCACTGAGAACGTCGATTACATGTCGTGTCGCTGTACTTTTCACTGCTCGAATAATTGTAAAACGTGTGAACGCGTCGATAACAACCAACATGTGCTCTTTTTGTTTTGAGCTTTTCGGAAAGGGACCTAAGTGATCAACGTGTACGGTTCGGAACGGTATTGGTTCAATTTCGCTAATATGCAGTTCGCCTTCCTTTTTACCTCCTGGCACCTTATTATATGTGCAGTCGATGCAAGATTTCAAATATGATTTTACAAAGTTACGCATGCGAGCAAACCACATATGCTCGCTTATTCGTGCAATCGTTTTCTCTAGACCCAAATGTCCAGCTTTATCGTGGGCGTTATACACAACTTGCCATCGCAATCCTTTTGGAACCACCCAAAGATTTTTGTCTTTCATCTTTTTGTATAGTCTGCCATGCTGTAAAATAAAATCTTTGCCAACCGTTGCATCGCCATTACGTAAATTATTGACTGTTTGTTTGATGGATTCATCTTGAAGCTGCATTCCGAAGAGCCAATTATCATGGCTTACTTGTATTTTATCGACTCGTAGAGATGCTGTTTCTAACTCACGTGATGCTTCAACTGGGGCACGACTCAATGCGTCTACATGAGCCATTCGTTGGCCTGCACGATGTTCTATTTCGATGTCAAATTCCTGAATACGAAGCCACCACCTTGCAATGCGTGGTATAAGCTCCCGTTTTCTCATGACCGTGTTCAATGCGTTACAGTCTGTGATGACTTTTATTCGTTTCCCATATATATAGCACTTAAACCTTTCTATTGCTTCTACTACTGCAAGAGTTTCGAGTTCATAGCTGTGATACTTCCTTTCGTTATCCGTAGTAGCTCGACTATAATAAATAACCGGTTTCCATCCAGCACACTCTTTTTGCATTAATGCGCCTGCCAAACCTACAGCGCTAGCATCCGTATGTACTTGATGTTCTGCCTCCGCCCTATATGCTGCCAGCACAGGTCGTGAGACTAAAATTGCCTTTAACTCTTCGAAAGCATCGTTTTCTTTGTTTGTCCACTTAAACGTTTGATCCTTTCGCAATAACTGATTTAATGGAGCGCCAATAACTGCATACCCTGGCACGAATTTTCTAAAATATCCACTCAAGCCAAGAAACTGTCTGACTTCTGTGACGTTCTCTGGTGTTTTGAACTCGCGTACAGCTTTTGTTTTAGCCATTCCGGGCGCAATACCATCTGGGTTCAACTCGTGGCCTAAAAATTCAATGGTAGTTTTCAAAAATTCGCACTTACTTAGGTTGAGAGTAACCTTCGCTTTACCCAACGCTCTTAAGACACGCTCTAATTTTTCGTACATTTCGTTCACCGTTACACTACCAATTAGTATGTCGTCCATATAATTCATCATGTCATCAGGTTTTACAGTTTCCCTTATCTTAGCGATAAGACGTTGAAAAACTGCCGGAGCATTTTTAAGTCCGAACGGCATTCGCTTGAATTCGTATAATCCTTCGGTTGTAATAAACGCAGTAAACTTTCGACTATTTTCCTCAATAGGAATTTGATAATACCCGCTGTTTAGGTCTAAGATCGTAAAGTATTTAAAACGTTTTGCTTTCTGTAATTGTTCTTCAATATTCGGAGTTGGAAATATTTCTTTTTTCATATGCTGATTTAACCGTCGAAAATCTACACATAACCGATCGCTACCGTTTTTCTTTTTCACCAGAATTATGGGACTTGCATATTCAGAATTAGATTTACTTATGATGCCACTATCCAGTAATTCCTTTATCATATCTGCGATTACACGTTTCTTCGGTTCAGGTACACGAAACGGTTTTTGGGCTATTGGTATATTAGTATCGAGTTCAATATTCATTTCCATGAGGTCGGTGCATCCAATATCACTTACTCCCGTTGCGAACACATCAGAGTATTTGTTCATTAAACTAATTAACTCAGTTTTAACAAACCGTTCATCGATTCCACATTTGATTTTATCGTCGCATAACTGCTTATGTTCGTTTTTCGTAACAAGTTTTCCGCATACATTTTCAAAAGTTGTTTCCCCATTTACCACCGTCATTCGCATACTTTTTAACATATCTTGCCCTAGCAAGAGATCCACCTGCAACAGTTCGTTGTCTACTACGTACAGACATACAACTCGCTCAAGGCTGTCTATTTTCATGTTAACGTGTATTTTTGTATGTGCGTAAACAACACCACCGCAAAAACCATTTATCTTAAGGGTACATTCTTCTTTAACGCATTTGAGACAATTCGCTGCCATCTGCCTAATCATACTACATTCACTGCCAGTATCGATCAGTGCCGTGAATGTATGATCGTTAATCGAAACAACTTTCTCCAACTGATTGCCTTGAATAACTGTCCTATTCACAGTTTTCGTCGTACGTGTTCCTACGCTTTTCTTGCCGCAGTTTTCAGGCTCGTTTCTAGAATGTACTTTTTGGCAGTCAACGCACCTACGTCTACGTTGTGGTTGTGGGCATTTCGAAGAAATGTGTCCCTTTTGTTGGCAATTAAAACACACCAACCGCTTATCGTTGTCGCTTTTTCCATCTGCTTTCATTTCAAAATTTGTTCTTTCGGGTTTAAACGTACGCACCGGCAAATTTTCCGAGTAATCAACTACTGTTTGGCGAAACTCACGCATCGAACTAAAACGATTTGCTGCAATAGCAATTTGCAGTTCACGCTGTTTAAGCCCATTTCTCGCATATTTGATAATAGCTGATTCACTCAGTCCAAATTTTTTCCCAAGCGCGCCTATGCGAAAACAGTAGTCGAGGAGACTTTCATTAGTTTTTCGCATCGTTTGTGACATTTTAAAGTGTGTAACAGCCTCATCTGGCACACTACTAAACTCGTCAAGCAAGCCTTTAGATAATTCAACCCAACTCGTATATAAATCCACCGAGGAGTCCAACCAGAGTTTTGCCGCGCCTTTTAACTGGCTATACACCGCTAATAGCAAACATTTCTCGTCCCACTGGTATGCTGCGTAGGCCTTATTTACCCGTTCTATAAATTGCTCGACCGAAATCGAGGCTTCGTCTGTCGGGTCAAATTGAGGAATTGTTGCCGAAATCTCTTTCACCGAAAATTGACTACGCGCCATGCATGTGACCGCGCTACTAGTTGGAGAATTCGATCGTTCTTGATTAATGCGCGTATTTGTTGCACCAACGTTAAGACTTGTTTGCAACATATTCATCATTGAGCTGAACATATCTCGTAGTTCAGTAATTTGCTCCTGTACGTTTGCACTGGCCACTTCGATACTATCCGACCCGACGGCTTCACTTAGACGCAGAATTAGTTCATTTTTAAGGCCTTCCGTCGATAGTCCTTCTTCGTGCAGTCGTTCTTTTAATTCCGTTAACTTTAAACTGTTTATTTTTACGCGCAGCATTATGTTTGTTTCAACCGCTTTGAATTTCACAACGAACTGAAATTATTTCTCTACCATCTATGTAACCCGTACAACACGCGTTCCTTTTTTTTTACTAATGTCAATTCACTTATATTCTTTTTCTTAGTTCGTTTCGCTTTCACTATTTCAACGTTTCGTATCGTTTCGCTAACGCTAATGTTCGCAGTACACACACGCTTACACACACATTTAGGAATTTTATACGTTCATTCCTTTCGTTTATTTTTACGTGTCGTTGCCGATCGTTCGCGGAATTTTTCGTTATGTCAGCGGAGCACACACATTTGCCCAGCGGAGTCTCACTCACGTTTTTGCGTGTACGATCCCACTTCTGATTTGTAAGAGTAATAAAATTAAAACCATAGATCACTCTTATGAGTTTAAGTTCGTTTTTATTGTTTATCGAAATACAAACACACACGAAATTATAATGTTTAATACTTGCAACGCTAGCACGCGGTGATCGATCAAAAACCATTCACTCACTGACTGTTTCGTTTTTGTTTTTTTCCTTTTGTTTCTTTTTCCTTTTCAGTCAGGGCTGCCATCCTCTTACATACGTAAAGTTCAAATAATCGTTAAATGTACTGAAGCTGTAGGTTATATGTTATAATCCCCAAATTATTTATTAACTAATTAATATTTCCATACCACTACAAATATATTTATTTGGAATATCAATGAGATTAAATATCTTATATACTCGAATAAGGACGTAATATATAACAATAATATGATAAAGAATGAGTGAAATTACTAGTTTATATGTAAAAATTATCAGAATTTTTAATTTTTTTGATATAAATAATAATGAATATTATTCTTTCGTATAACATTGGTTATTAAATCCAATATTGATTCGGAACTGTCAAACAATTGCAACTGATATTATTCCTATCAGAGTTATACTTAGCTTTTATCTTAATAAATATTGCTAGAGAAATCAATTTTAATTCTTATTAAAAATATTTATACTTTTTATTTAATTTTCATTTAAATTTAGTTTAACTGAAAATAGTGGAGCCAATTGCGAGTGCCAAATTTTGAACTACTGTGAAAGTAAGAAAATTGAAATTTGTGAGCAAATGTGACTTAAGAGCAGGAAGAACCAAGTCCTGCTTTTTAAATGTTCGATTACAAACCTTTTCAAATGTGTGACGCACTTTTTCGTCAATGTCTTCGGTAATATTATCTTCCACCGATTGCTACGGTTTTTAATTTGTTTTTTCACGTAAAAACCGATATTGTGTTTTTTGTTTTTTGAGTACGGAAACAAAATAAAATATTTTAAATAAAATAATTTAAATAAAAACAATAAAGTAACAACATTTAGCACAGTTATATATAACATAATTAGTTTTATTTAAAGTAACCGACCTTATCCATGTGTGCTAGTAATCCTTCTTGACTACTCTGACGTGTAGTTTCACGAACAAGTTCTTTTGCGTGCGAGGCAAAGTTTTCAAAAAGTGAACCTTGTGACCCTTGACGACCAGGACTGCCTGAACTCGAACCGGAACTACCAGTACGTGCTAATATATTAGATACATTTGGCTGTTTTACAGGTGGTGTTATAGATGTCTAGAAAAGTTTAGCAATTAAATAATGTAACTATTATATTTTTAATTTATATGATAAAGAATTACAGGAATTTTCTTTTTCTCCGATCCAGTACGTTCTAAATCATTTTCGTTTTTCTGCAATTTATGGGGTGCAGTACTTTTTACACCATCAGCTTCATTATCAATGCTAGCCGCTTTAATGGTGGCTTCTAAACGCATAGCTACAGGTGCCGCTAGCTCAAAGGGGCCAGCAGTTTTTGCAGGAAAATCAAACTCTGAATCTCGATTGAAACTTGGAGAACTTAAATCCGAACGACTTGATGAAGATGAAACAGGTGAATCTGCACGATCATCATCATCTCTAGAACTAACATGCTCAATCGTACCTTCTGGGTACTGTAATTTACTTGGTGGATGATAAACTAACGCCGGATCTAAATTAGATGACAGTGTCTGAGGTACATTGTGCGGACGATTATGGGAACCAAATACATCATGTATACTTGGTGATAAATCTGATGAAACCATTTCAGAAACAAAGTCACTAAGTGATGAGTACGATGAGCTGGAACTCTCCGCACCTTCAGAATCTGAACCACTTTCATCAGTAGGTTGGCATTCCAATTGCTTAAGCGAACGTAATGCTCCATTAAGTGAACTGCCATCATCCCATACAGAAAAACGTATTGGTGTGAGCGATTGTGCAAACCATTTTGGCTTATCGCCCACTTGCATAGGATCCATAACACCAGTTTGCACACGCAAGAAAGCAACATTCGTTGGCGTCAATGACCATTCAGCGAGAAACTCCACTGCCTGTGTACGCGCGAATTGATTTAGGAACTGTGAAGTACGTGGTCGCGAACGTAAGAAACTGTTTATTTGAAAGGCGACAACTGGACGTGGATACAAACGTAGTGTACGCGTATGCTCAGCAAAATTAGCCAAAGTATTTTGTGAGTTAAAGAAACGAACCTGCGAAGTAGTATATAAGATTTATAAAATTGAATTTATTTAAGTAATAAAAAAAAAATAAGAAAAAAGTTTGAAAATTGACTTACAGTTGCTACTCTAGTAGCGACATCAACAGAATCTACATCGGTGCCATATATAAAAGGATTCAGAGCAGGCGAATTCATCGGACTTGGTTGACGCGATAAAGCACCTTGTGTTGAAACAGAGTTACGTTGACTTGTAAATGCTGATTGCAAAGGAGATTGCATTGGCAATCGAGCTTGAGATACACTGAAAATAGTAGAAGATATTTTAAAACTAGATTTGTGCTTTTGAGGAATAAAAAACTAACCAATTTTCGAATAGACTAGAACTAGAACTTTGTTTATACTTACCTCAATAATGGTGGTTCTGTCAGACTATCACGTACTGATGGTAAAAGTTGTTGGGTTGATATTGCTTGATTAGAGGCTGACATTGACGTTAATGCCTATTTTTATAATAGAATTAAACGTTATTATAATAATAAAAATATTAAGAGTTTTTAAAATAAACAATATTAAACGATTAACTTAATACTAGAAGGATATGAGATGACAAAAGTATGATTTATGTTTTGTTTACAATGTTAGTTTACATGCGACAAAATAAAATACTGAAAAATAACATTAACATTATGATATGGAATAAAAATGAACTACAGAAAGATTTTCTAAAGTATTATTTATTTTACAATATACAAATAGATCAAGTATATTAAAGAAATTTTACAGCACTTATCAATTAAGAACAGTATTTGATTTTCAGAATGTCGTTTTCGTATCTCGTTTTTAAACGAATCGGATCCGAATTCGGTGAAGTTCTTTTATTTTATAAAATCATTATGACAAACATGACAATAAATTTTTATTTTATTATTTATTGAAAAATCTGAGGAAATGGAAACTTTCTTGAATTGACTAATACGAATGTTACCTATAATTTTTATGGATATATTCGAATATGAAGTGATATGAAGAATGTTATATTGATAGAAAAGTTGTCATTTCGTACAATGAATGTGTTTAATTATGTACGGATATTGAATTGTTTTAAAGTTATGTTGTTTTTGTTTCAAAATCAAAGTTAAAAAGTAACTAAATATTAAAAAGTAACAGCATTCCATTTATTACTTATAATTTTAGTATTATGCATATTCTTCCCTAATATCCCTAACACTCTGGTAGATCTTTCATAGAACTTAACATTCACATCTTTGATTAATGCACATTACATTATGAATGTAATATATTACAAAATAATTTCTATATTCCTATGCTTATTTTCCATAGTTTTTTATAACTTCATCTAAGACTAGATATCCTTCCATTACTTACATTAGATCAAATGGAACTCAAAAGTATCATTATTTTCACTAAAAAAGTGTATTAGATGATTCAATTTATTTTTAATTTACGAAGTATTTAACAAATTCGAGACAAATATCAATCTCGTCAGTGTTATGCAAGTTATGATAACTTCTCTTCTTGATCAAATATTGTCATAAATTTACCAGGCTGTTCATTAGGTATGCAGAGCTCCATCTCTTTGTTATTGGTGAAACTACAATAACAATAGATTTTTTTAGTATTATCTTCTTTATTTTGAAAACAGAATTAAAATTGAGTTGCGCAGAAATAAAATGAGAATACATTAAATTGACATTAACATTCCGAACTAAATAGCTTCTATATGTGACTATGTATAATATGCAAAGGTGTCAAAGTTCATATTATGCTGAATACATCACATATCTGATTTCTTAAAATTAAGAAAAATTCTTTGAGATTATCGTATTTATTTTTTTTACGCATTAGTTTCTTTTTCCTAAATTCGGGAAGACACTATGACAACTTTTTTGATAATGAAATAGTGCCGAACCAACATAGGTTATATTTTATTCAAATTAATTCAAATTGTTTCATTTAGATTTTAATTTAAAAAGAAGCGATTACGTCTAGATTTGAATTTTAATAAATATGTACAACAATACTTCAAACTATTATTATAATTTATTATAAATGATTTATAATTCTCACTAACTTTATTTAGGTGGTATTAATAAATACTTCATTCTTACACACACTGTAACTGGTTTCATTTTAATATTGTTTGTTCTATCTATACTAAAATTAACATTTAAGACTTCATCTAATTTGTAAGGGATAATATATTCATAACCTTCCTATTGCTTGAATTACGAAGTGTACAGTATATTTATATAACACACATTTAGATTTATTAAAATCGGTGCAATATTTTTGAAAACATGCAAAACAATTTAAATAACAAGAACTCTCAAACTAAACAATACTTTTTAATATGATTGAGAGAAGTTTCTTCAAAAAAAATATATTAAATGATATTTACACCAAGTCCAGCTTCATCCATAAGTTGCATAGCCTGTGTTTATGAAAAAAGTTTTTAAACAAAATAATAAGATTGAAATTACAAAAATAGTTATAAGAAATTTAGAGAAAATAGTAATAAAAGTAGCAAAATTTGTGGTTTAAAAAAAAAATAGCATAATAATTTTAATATATAAATTAATTCAATAAAGTTAGTAAATTGTATAAAAAGAGGTTAGTAAAGCAGTTTGTACAATTTTTTCTTGTTAAACGACTTTGTAGAGTTCATATGATAATGATTACTATGAGCTTAGATATGATTATTTAAAAGTATAGTATAAAGTACGAATATTCACGATAAATAACCAAAATATATACCATATATTAGAAGTATAGTATGTACTAAGATATATATAGGCGCTTTGAATGAGCAATCATTTTATATGACATTTAAGTAATATTGTTTAATGTACATTTCGAGTATTATAATTCCGGCTAAAAGTTTTTTTTAGAGTATAACATCAAACATTTATATATTTAATAACATAAAAAATAAAAATACATAAAATTCAATACTTATGAATAGTTATTTTAAATACGTTTCAATTTAATTTGAACAAATATTAATAATTTAAGTTATATGTATATATTTTAAATGTTAATTTATGTTAGAATAAAATATTTTTCTGCATATGCATTAAGTCATGAACACGATATTTAATTACATTTAATTTAAAAATGTATATATTTTTAACACTTAGGAAAGCTTACTTGTTTCAAATGATTCTTGAGTATTGTACCCTCCGGTTCAGGTAAAGGTGGAATTTCTTCATATCCACCTGTTGGTGGTGTTAATTTTGTTGAGTCTAAATCAACTAGCCAAATGTCGTCAGGTAAACTGTAGGGAATATAAGACATATATTAATTACTTATAACAAGTAATATATGTACAACAGTATATAACGGTATTGAAAAACCTGTTTTTGAAATAATAATTAATAGGAAAACTGAATTTTCAATCAATTGAATTTTTTTCTAGCCATACAGCCAAATAGCCACAATTAGCGGTCTTAAGAAATATTTTTTAGGTACAATTATTACAATATACTTTTAAGACAGCAAGTACCAAAGCTTGAATTCAAACCCTGTCAAAATTAAAGCATAGATTTACGTTTCATAGCTACCCTAACCAACGCTATACTTGCTAAGTATAAAGTTAATGTTGTTATGAATACCTATAGTCATGAAGAATAGTTCAGAATTTGAATCAAGCCAAAAAGAAGAGTATAAATCTCTTAACTATTACAGTATTAATACCAAATATATATATTTTATATGTAAAAAAATAATTTAAATTTCGAATTATATCTACACATAAAAAATATTTCCCTGTACATAAAAGCGAAGGATTTAGCTGATGAGGCATTAACAAAACTTCCTTAAAATCCATAATAATTAATGACATAAATATAATACTAACTATAACTGTTTTTGAAAATAATCATAAAACTTGTCATCATACTCACCGGAAATTCTTTTTGTACATTAAAAATGTTGCTGGCACACCTATAACAAACGGTGTTGGTGCTAGCAACAATTGTTCTGCGCAGCTCAAACATGTCGGCAATAACGGTATGACCGGAAACATATACTCCAATGGATATAGCATAGTAACGAATGCCATTACTGACATGGAGAGCGCATTATAGTCTCGCGATTGAAAAAGAACTTTATTTTCCAACATTATAAGTGTCCACACCTTCAGACAAGTTTCAACACCTAGTAACTCCAGTGGTAAATGCAAAGGAAAATCAACCAAGGAAAAACGTGTGTGATCAGGCAAGGCAAAGAGCAGAGGTTCATGTACTGTAGGTGAAAGTACTTCAACCTGTTAAAGAGCAATGAATTAAATATGAAAGAAAAAATAATACGTTAAGTTGGCAAGAAATTAAAGGAAAAGCACCTCAACTCTTGTGGAACCAGGCACAGGTACAGGGGTAGACAACAAACGTAATATCCATGTTTCAATTTCTCGCACATCGTGCAAAACTATTGTGGATGGTGTAGTATCGTTAGCGTGTCCAGTTAAAACAGTCCAAACATTATCTCTATAAAAATTTTTTCTTGGATGATTTATTTAACAAATTCAATACTTATTTTTTAGTGCTTACCTATTTACTTTTTGTGATGCACCTACTCGTTTGGGTGATGATGACTCATTGCAAGCATCAATCAATTTTTTCAATATAAAAAGACACTCGCGAAATGTTGTAAAGAACGGATGATGCGATATGATGCATAATGATGTAAGTGATTGATTTCGTAGTTTTGTGCGTTTACGTGAAGCGCGAGGTGAGGGAGAATGGCTGCCACCAGATTCGGAATCAGCAGATGGTGCCATTAAACCTAACTTAGGTACTTGTGGTGTATGCATAGCATGATGCATTTGATCTGAATCACGTCGAGAAGTCATTTCACGGTCTGAATCACTTGGTGCGACGTTACTTCTGTAGTCGCTAGAAGAAGTTAAGAGGCCGTAACTATTACAAAAATTATTTTATCTTTAATAACTTAATTGGCAACAAAAAAGTTTACTTATAAGATGAAGAGCAAAAGCAAAAAATATATTAAATCATATATAATAATCGCTTTAACTTGCCTACTAAAAGCTGAATCAGAGCTACGCTCCATACTTTTACGCCAGGATTCGCGGCGAAACGCAGAACTACGTCGACCACGTGCACTTTGTGTTAAACCCACATTACCATGACTGCCACTGCGCTCTGTGCTTGAAGAATGCTTTTCAATTGGACGATAGAAGTTAACACAAATGCCATAGCGTGTTTTGCCAGAATCTTTATCGGTGAGTGCAAATACAAAAGATGTCATGTCGCGTATGGCTGAGCCTGTACGTCTAGGACCAACACTTGTACAACCTTCAGGTTGACAAAAATATACCATATCTAATGGTAATGGAAAATCTGCATGATCGGAAGGCGGATAACGACGTAGTAATTCTGGTATCTAAAGAGAGCGATATGATGAAATGATATTTATAAAAACAATGTTTTAAATATACGTATTTAACATATACATTAATATAACGCTATATATATGTACTCATATATTATAAACACATATATAACATAACTACTAATATAAAAAATTTATTTGTATTTTAATTTGTTTACCTGCACAGGTGGTGTTTTGTTATTTTGCATACCCTTCGGTATGGGCGGTGTTGTTCTAGCTCCAACTATCGCCATATAATCCACTAAACGTGGACATAATGATTGCTTCTGCTGGTCTGACATATTCAAAAATTATTATTTTTTATGTTTTATTCCTTAACTTAAAGATGCATGTACTTCAATTGGTTTAGGTAATGCTGCAAATATAAAAAAAATTTTAATATTAAAATTAATTATTAAAAATAAAAATGGAAAATATATAAGTTATAATTAAATTGGTTATGTAGAATCACTTAAATATGTAATGATATTTTAGTTTGAATTTAGTTTCTTATTTTGACTATTTCTTTTTTTGAGAAATTTTTCTTTGAATCTCTTTGTATTCTATACTTCACAGAGTCTTAGGTAAATAAACTAACAAACTGACTAAGTAGAGCAAAATAATCTTTGTTTATAATTTTGTATCAATTCTTGTTATGATTTAGTGATATACGAATAGTGGTACTGTAGTATAGCACCATTTTCCATTATCGTGCCACACTCGAAAAACTTGTGCAATGGCCTGATAAACCATTTTCTCTTTCCATTACTACCTCACTTTTGATTAGGGAAAGTTAGAGAAAAAAGTTTGCTATAACTTCACTTAAAAGTTTATAAAGTTATATTAGAACAAACTAGTTAGTACAATGTTCCTGCTTAAAATTTTGTATTGACAGATGGCCCACTGTGTTCTTCTTCCAGTCTTTTGGTTGTGACTGAGCGTAGTGGCGTACGTGACCCATTATAAATAAATAAAAATGTTACAAAATTCTGAAACTGCGACTTATATTTGCAGCAAAGAATCTTGTGCTTATGCTCAAGTGAGTAAAGAGATTTTTATGCAATTGCATTTAGTTTCACAAAAATTCCCAAATTCTATTATTAATCGATTTATATCAGAAAGGAATTTGACAAAATTACGAAATTGTAAACCGATTATGACCTCCAATCCATCATCTCCAATTTCCTTGCTGCATTTCAATATCAAAAGAAAAAAGCATATTGTTTAATAACATCACAGAATATAAGAATATTTTCCTTTAATTTATTATTAAAACAACGCAATTCTTAAAATCATAAAGTTAATTCAGATTGATTGCATTTCCAGTAAATTTTGTTATTAAGTTAAAATATTTGCATTCGACTGAAATCGAAAACATATTTCTGTCTTTTTTGTGAAGAGAAAATATAAACAAAATTTATCCGTGAGTTGGCCGGAAGCCTGTAATTACATTAATGTTTGCATCTGTACTGTACGCAGATGTTGTCGTAAAGGACTTTTACGAATATCTCTGAAATATATTCATTTCAGTAAATTAACATGCATGGAATAAAGCAAAAGTTGTTTTACTTAATTTGCCAGGACAACATATTTTTGTTTACATTTGGCAGTTGTAAGGGAAATGAAATTTAAGTTAAATTCCAAATTAAGGACGAAAATGTCAACATGGCATATACAGAACTTCAATACAAAACTTTTCTTTTAATCTTTATAAAGATAAATACTAAAGTCAAATAAAATTAATTAAATCAGAAATGCTTTTAGATAATTAACTGTAACTACGTTTTTGTAACGCAACTAAAACAAAAAAAAAAGGACGACACCTTGCTTAATTTTATAGAAGCTTAGAAAATTGTCACAAAATATTATTTCACTTTGATGTTACTTAGCTGCTAAATTATTAGAAAATTAAATAAAATCCTATTATGAAATAATACGCGATTATTTTTTTTTAACAGAGCATAAATAATAAACATGTTTCAATGACAAAGTAAACCACTTTAAATTTCAAAAGGATCTGCTTTAAGATAATAGATAATATTTATGTAATTTCATGAGTACCACAAAGACAATAATAGAATAAACTCTGCATATTAATGAATACAAAAAAAAGTGTATAATATTTATGTTTAAGCTTTTAGCGCTGAGGAAGTTTGTAGGTTATTTTACGGATCATCATGGACTGCGTCATCTTTTTAATAAGAAACAGAGTCGACAGACTCCGCTGGGAGGCAAATGAGATTTCTAGTCACATTCACTATGACTGTCTGGCTTACATCGGGACAAGGATAAGATAATTAAACTGGAAAAGCCTATATCCAACTGATGTTAGGATGTTCGTAACAGCTGACATTTTGACTTCATTCGAAGTACAGATGTCTTTTGTACAGTTAGAATCCGCTAGAAGTCATGGTCGTAGTGACAGAAAGTTGACAGAATTTCTGAATAAAACATATTACTTAAGTCGCGAAAAAATAATAAAAATTAACCACATATTCTTAAGAATTACATTTAAATAAATTTTAATTGAATCTATGCAGTACATAAGAGATTGTAAAAATTAAGATAAAGAAAGTTCTTGTAGATCAGTACTACAAGTCAAAGATTGTGGTAGCTATAGATAGCTAAATTGTACGAACTGCATATTGAATTGTCCCTTTGCTCAGTGTATTTTCTGGGTAAATAAACTTCTAAGCCTAGAAAAAATACTAATTTAACTCAAATGGTAAAATGTTCGCAGAATGTTCTAATAAATCTTTTTATAAAAAAGGTGGAGAAATCTTAGACTTGTTTTGCTTTTTGATCATGAATTATAATTATTTGTCGGCGAGATAGTTCCAAAAATTACACTCGTATATTATTATTTTTTCATTGTGACAATTTGATTTTTATGGAGGAGAATATAATAACTAGACTTTAATAAGTTTGATGCGATATTGATCAGAATGCTTCATTGGAAGATCGTTAGAAGTGAAGATAAAGGATGTAATTATGATTGTGTACTTGAATTATAATTATTTGTAAGTGATATAGTTCCGAACATCATACTTGTATTTCATTTTTTTTACATGGTGACAATTTGATTTTTATGGTGAAGAATATAATAACTAGACTTTAATAAATTTGATGCGATATTGATCAGAAAGCTTCGTTGGTAGATCGTTAGAGGTGAAGATAAAGGATACAGTTATAATTGTGTACTTGAATTATAATTATTTGTAAGTGGTATAGTTTCGAACATCATACTTGTATTTTATTTTTTTTACATGGTGACAATTTGATTTTTATGGGGAAGAATATAATAAATAGACTTTAATAAGTTTGATGCGATATTGATCAGAATGCTTCGTTGGAAGATCGTTAGAGGTGAAGATAAAGGATACAGTTATGATTGTGTACTTGAATTATAATTATTTGTAAGTGATATAGTTTCAAAAACACACTCGTATATTATTATTTTTTCATTGTGACAATTTGATTTTTATGGAGGAGAATATAATAACTAGACGTATATAGACTCTTTGAAGTAATATTGATCAGATTGTATCGTCGGAAGATCATAAGAGGTAAAGGTAAAGGATACAGTTATGATTGTGAATTTAAATTTTACTGAATTGATAGTACTTGTTTAGGTATTCACACAGTTATTCTTACAAAAAGTCATACCTGACCCCTGCGGACAGAAGCAGTAATAAAGAGGAAGACATTTGAAGCAAGATTTTATAAATATATAGCAACAAATACAACTGTAGACATTAATATTTGAATAAAAGTACAAAAATTATGAATGATGATATGAAGTTACATTTAAAGATAAGTTATTGTTTATCTGAGCAATAAAAAGTTGTAAATTAATTTCTTTATTTACATCGACACAATATCTTCTTTATCATAAATAGGTATATACAATGTATAAAGTTTTATTAAATATTTTTAATGGCGTCATTAAAAAACGTTTAAATAAAACACTTTCTAAGTTTTCTGTAATCAAAGTAAATTTTAACTTGTTCAATTAAACTGCAAGCGAAAGTTTTTGCATTTTATTTCGCATTTCGCACAAGGACACGTTCAGAGAATAAGAACAAAACCAATATGGCTGCCAGGAGCAAGTTTTCCATCGTTAACAAAAGAGGATAAGCAGAAAGAATAAATCCAATAATGCCAGCAAAAGTTTGAAATGCTCTGTTAAAGCCAAGCATTTGTAAACAACACATCAAGGATGAAATGAAACCGAAGCACAGTTGCCAGAAACACTGGTTCATTAGGCAAAATGTGTAAGGAATACTTTATTAAAGTTGATTGATGGAAGAAGCAAGCAATTAAAAAGCATTTGTTCTTGAAACAATACACTTTTTCTGCATTAAAATATAAACACAATTAAATGTTTTTATTTAATGGACAACAGAAACAGATCGCAGTTGATGAAGGACATTTTAGATGTACTTGAATTAATTTCAACAGAAGTCATTACCAATTGAAATAAAACTCTGGAGTGGAACAAATGAAATCACAAAATGATTGAAGTCACAGAAAATAATTATTTCATTATTTATGATTGTAAGTTTTATAAAATACAAAATAATCTGACAATTCAAAACAAAGCTTACATTAATATTTAATATTAGTCTTTTCTAATTAACTTTAAAAAGAAGTTAAAAGACTCTTTTCAGTGCAAGTAGTCTGGATTAGACTGATTTGAACTAGTTAATGAATCTTTTAGTTTTTTAGGGTCTTAATTTCTAATTTTCTGAAGTACCTGAGTTTTTCTCTAAATGGATGCTTAGTAAAAGCACAGAATATCTTACTTATAATAACTAGAAATTGGACTACTCATTTAGTAAAGCTACAAGGGTAATGATAAATATTACCCTTGTGGTTTTGACGCTTTATAACCTACCATAAAGTAACGCGGTTTCTTTCTCTCGATTCGTTAAGGGGAAATAGACAGTTGCTTAGTATATCCAAATAAATTTTGCCAGACTTTAAGATTAGTATGACCGTTTAGCTGGCAATAAATTATTTTGATTTTTCCCTTATTTATTATTATTATGTTGAGCTTTTTTCGAGTTACTGCATCTGTAGAGTCCCACCCATCTCACTAATTAATTTGTGTATTCTTCATAAGTTTCGTGATTATTCAATGACTGATCTAAGATTTGCGTAGCGCCCCGTGCGGTTAATGATTACTCTGTGATTAGATAGTGCAACCTATCGGTTTTAGGGCTCTGTCCCTTATGCATTTTTTGACCGGATCTATTCTAAGATCTCTTAGCACATATATTTTATATATTTATGCTATATTGATTGTACGTTATATTAAAAATCTTGTAATCATTTCAACCATATGGTATAA